AAACCCAAATTGACTACCCAATCAAATTTGCCTTGAAAACACAGATTCTTAACCACTGGATTGCCAGGGAAGTCCCCCTTCTTCTTATATTTTAAAACAAACAAACAAACAAATTTAAATTGAGATATAATTGACCAACAACATCGTGTAAGTTTAAGGTGTACAATGTTATATTTGCTTGGCTTGATACATTTATATACCATGTATTTATATTGTATACATACACACACACAGATATATGCCTATTATGTACATTTGTATATATACTGTAGGAGCTTTGGGCTTCCCTGGTGGCTCAGATGGTAAAGAATCTACCTGCAATGCGGGAGACCTGAGTTTGATCCCGAGGTCAGGGAGATCCTCTGGAGAAGGGAATGGCAGCCCACTCCAGTATTCTTGCCTGGAGAATCCCATGGACCGAGGAGCCTGGCAGGCTACAGTCCATGGGGTCACAAAGAGTAGGACATGACTGAGCGACTAAACATACAAGTACGCACAGGAGCTTTAGCTAACACCTTTAAAATTTACTTATTTGACATACTTCTATTAGGGGAGGAAAAATCTCTTCCTCTACCCATCTGAGGTTCTCTGCCTAGAGCCCTGTAAATAGACTGATGAACTACAGATTAACAAGAGAAAAGCAAACAGAAGTTTACTAACATGTGCATCACACACGTAACACATGGGAGTACCCAGAGATGAGAATTTCAAAGATTTGCTTAGAACTTGAGCTTATACAGAATCTTAGCAAAGGAACAATAAATTTTTAGAGGAGTGGTAAGGAGTGATAAGTCAAAGGAAAAGGACCTTGAGTCCATGGGAAGGCAAATGCATGGGAAAACTAGTGGTAGACAAAGACCAGTTAGTAGAATTTGTTGTGCAGATTTTTCCAGTGCTATCTCTAGGCTGCTATGGGTCTAAAGTTGTTTCCAGTGATTAAGCTTTGTTCTTCCTGGTAGACAGGGGAGGAGAGATACCGTTTTAAATTTATGTCCTGAAAACCATGCTTCTCCTGAGCAAGTCTGTGTTATCTGAGGGGTTGTATTCTGGCCTATATTCCACAGTTTGGCTCAAATAAAACTCTTTTCTATTCCTATTATAGATTGTTTATTGATTACTTTGTGGATAGAGGTATGCATCAGATTCTTATGTGTATCCCTTGAGGAGGAACCAGGACCCTGACCGTCACTGCACAACTGTTTCTTGACCTCCCTTTCCTTTGTTTCTGCATTCTCTCACTCTAATTAGCAACTGTTTGAACCTTCCCTAGGAACACAGGGAAGATCTGGGAGGCTGAAATGTTGTCCCTACAAACAAGAAATAGGGGACATGGAAAGGCTTTTGTACCCAAGAGGACCCTACGGTGTTCTGCTCAGTTTTGTGGTCCACCTAGAGAGGGCATGGAAGTTCCATGACCTTTCCCCATATGCATCTCTTCCATCACCCACACAATGGACATAAGTGTGAACAAACTCTAGGAGATGGTGAAGGACAGAGGAGCCTGGAGTGCTGCAGTCCTTGGGGTCGCAAAGAACTGGACGTGACTGAGCAACTGAACAACAAAGTTTCTTCCATCTGGCTGTTTCTGAGTTATATCATTTTATAGTAAATGGTAATCTAGTGAGTAACCTGGATTCCTGACTTCAGTGAGCTGCTCTAGCAAATTAATTGAGCCTAAGGAGGGGGTTTTGGGAACCTCTGATTTTGTAGCCATTTAGTCAGAAGCACAGGAACAATCTAGACTTGTAATTGGCACCTGAAATGGAGGACAGTCTTGTGAGACTGAGTCCTTACCTGTGGAATCTGATGCTATCTCCAGATGGATAGTGTCAGATTTGTGTTGAATTGAAGGACACTCAGCTGGTGTTGGATTGCTTAGGGGAAAATCCCACACACTGAAATTGGGTGCAGAAACTATCTTTAGGGAAACATCAAATATCTCAATATTATTCATAATTCTTTTTTTTCAATTTGGAGACAAAGGTGACCTGATTTGTCAATGCCTAGTGAGCCATCTCAGAGAAGGCAATGGCACCCCACTCCAGTACTCTTGCCTGGAAAATCCCATGGAGGGAGGAGCCTGGTAGGCTGCAGTCCATGGGGTCGCTAAGAGTCAGACACGACTGAGTAACTTCACTTTCACTTTTCACTTTCATGCATTGGAGAAGAAATGGCAACCCACTCCAGTGTTCTTGCCAGGAGAATCCCAGGGACGGGGCAGCCTGATGGGCTTCTGTCTATGGGGTCGCGCAGAGTCAGACACAACTGAAGCGACTTAGCAGCAGCAGCAGCAGTGAGCCATCTGGGTAATCCAGTTCTAATGCTGGAAAGGTGAAACAAAAACTTTTGGAGCAAGGAGGTACAAGTGTACTCTGATGGGTTACTACGTGTGCTGTCTTAGGAGAGAAGATGTGAAACCTGCAGCCTACTTTTACTTTTGTAGTAATCTATGTGTTAAGGAGGAAAAATAATAAGAAATGTGATTTTTACAGCTGAACATGGCAGCAGTGAAGTCAGTAGTAGTTAAGTCTGTCGTGATACTATGTAGCAATAGCTACACACAAAACTGGGCTTCCCAGGTGGCTCAGTGGGTAAAGAAACTGCCTGCAGTGCAGGAGACACAGGAGATATGGGCTCAATTCCTGGGTCCCCGCGAAGATCCCCTGGCGGAAGCCATGGCAACCCACTCGAGTATTGCCTGGAGAATCCCATGGACAGAGGAGCCAGGCAGGCTACAATCCACAGGTCACAAAGAGTTGAACGTGACTGAAGCGACTGAGCACACATACATAAAACCAAGCAAAGACATCTGCCCAAGCGGTACGCTGCACACTGCATGTATTTCAGGAAACACCCAGAATCTCAACCTTAGGAAAAAGAAAAAGGAAATGGAAAAGAATACAGACAATATGTTCCTAAAATGGAAATAACTTTATTTATAGCAGATATTGATAATAATACCTTCCACAGAGCAAAAGCAGTAATCCAAAGGCTCGACAACCACTCACACTATGAAACTTGCACACACGTTGCAATCAAGGATCCAGACCTTAGCAGGAACCAAACTCATCTTTTTTGAAGCTAAAATATCCATAGACACAAAGCAACTATTTATAACTCTAAGATTTTAATGAATCACCAAAAACTAAATGTCTAATCTGATTTGAAAAAAATATATGTACCATTTACCTTAAATTTCCTCAACTCTCTGAACAAAGAAAAAAATTCTGGGGTTTTAAATTTTTCAAATAGGACTTTCTCAGAGGAAATCTACTTTGAGTACTGTGCAGGAATCCATTTCTGAGAGAAGCTCAGAATAATGGGAACTCCTCAGCTTGCTCCATGGAGGAGAAGACCCCTGTAGGAGACAGTACAACTCTGGGACAAAAGCCTTGGAGTCACCCTAAGTCCTTCAAACTCCAGCACCAATACTTATTATGGGACCTTTGTCAAGGTACTTACCCTCTCTGCGCATCAGCTTTCTCAGTTATAAGATGGGGATACTAATAGTATCAATTGCTCAGATACAAAGTTCTTATAAAGGGGACAAAATAAATACACAATATCAACTATTACTGTCTGACCAAAAAATTTGTATGCATGTATTTTTAAGAAGACAGCATCTCATTCATCATTTATGGAAAAAGACTGGAACATGGATAACGGGATAGTTTGCTATTAAAGCTTTCTCGTGAGTTGGAAAACCACTTAGAAGTAAATTTTGACATATTGACATTCCTTACAGTAGGCACAACTCGAGTCTTTTCTCTGTGCAGTCATTATGAGGAAGAAATAATTTAAGGGAGAAAGCATGACATGGTGGGACTTAGCAAAAGGAAGGAGAAGGTGCTGTGGGGGCTACAGTTACTAGAAAGTGATAGACTACGGACATTTTTGTGATTTATCTATTTAAAACTCGAAGTGGGGTATGCATAAAAGTACAATAATATCCAGAGAGAAAAAATGTTCAGAGATGTGTAGCATTACTATGGCAGGGAAAGTGCACACGATTTGGCAGATTAGAAGGATCAGCAGGGAGCAAGGACAAAGTTTGGCCAGTCAGAGTTCAGAGGCCATGAGTTCTGGAGTAACAAACTCATTTTCCGCAATAAATGGTGAAGACTCCAGAAATGGCTTCCAAAGCCAATGGCTTCCAAGAGCTCTGCCAAAAATTTAGGGAATATATATTTCTCTGCTGGGTCATTAGCAACTTGAGTCAGGCAGCAAAAATTTATTAAGCATCAACTATACACCAGGTTCAGTGTCCCAAACCTTGGTGTCTCAGAGAGTAAATCTGTCTGCAGTGCATGAGATCCAGGCTTGATCCCTGGGTCAGGAAGATCCCTTGGAGAAGGAAATGGCAACCCACTCCAGTATTCTTGCCTGGAAAATCCCATGAGCAGAGGAGCCTGGAGGGCTATAGTCCACGGGGTTGCAAAGAGGTGGACATGACTGAGCAACTTAAAGAGAGAGATTTCATTTATTACCAAAGGTTGCTCAATTTCTGTCCTTGCCACCTTTCTGGCCATGGGATAGGGAGAGGAATGTGGTTCCTAATTTTTCACAATCAAAGCCTTCCTCCCCTCCCCTGCCTCCATTCAGATTAGGATTTTACTTTTAGGATAGACTTTAAAGGGCAAACAAACCAAACTAAAGGACTAACGCAGAGAGAGCAATAAAAGGAGGATCAATTGGCATTGAGTATTTCAACTGAACAACACAGAAGGTGATTTCAAATTCACAGCACTCCACCCCTGTAACCCCAACAATGATGACATGCGAATGAGGTGCAATACCTCTGCAGCGAAATTACAAAGATCTCTGGGGCTTTTTTTGTCCATAAAATATAACACTCCAGAAATGAAAACCTTGCATATACTTCTTGAGATGAAAAAAATTTTAAGGTGTTTTTACACAAGGATTTAGATTAGAATTTACTCTACTTCTTCAACTGCGCCTTTTGGAAGCTTGGCTCGAGACATCCTTTTAATACAGTCTTTTTACTCAATTCCTTTGTCTTTAAGCTCTTGTTTGACACGTTTCAGATAGTTAGGATCAGGGTAACCATACCTGCAGAAGAAAAGATGCCCTTAGCTTCACCACAGATGTTTTTTTAAAAATCTGTACAGTAGGTCCTTGGCATTAACATTCAGAATTGCAGATATTTACAAACCATCCTGAAGGCTGATGACGGATAATCAATTCTAAGTGTGCTGAGGTGAATCATTTAGCTGGTGAATAGGTCTACCTATCTGCCCAGGATCTGCCTTCTAACAAGACTTCAATTTCAGCTCATGGTTAAACAATGATTCTCATAAAGTTATAATATACTGTATTTCTATGGAGGGTAATCATTTTGCTATAGGAAGATTTTCAAATTTGGGAAATTAAGTCTTAGGATATATTCCCTTTTGAATACTAAGGGTCTGAGGTATTCTATCTGAATTTCATAAAAAGCAATTGGATCGCCCATGATACAACTTCCATCACCATTAACTAAGACTTTTCTAGAGTTCTACTAGTCAAGTGAATTTAGGATCTTTACTGGACTTATGGAAGAGGAGGGTAGAAGAAAGGGTGATCTTAAAAGAAGGCAAAGTGACATTCCTAGGATCTACCCTTCAAATAGATGTGAAGGGTATTAAAATTATACCAAATTAAATCACCTTAGATACCATTTATCTTGCATCCTGAAGATCCACTGCCCTTTGATGCAAAATTTATGAACTGTATGATACTTTGTGGTTGGAAGGCAGAAGGTCATGGGAACCAGTATGTCTTTGAGATTATCATCCCTGATTAGCATCTGTCCAAATACTGCATACAGTCTCATTGATATAAACTGTCTCCTTACAGTCATATCTTCAAATTGCCATGTTTTATGACCTCTAAATTCTATTTAGCAGCCATTCTGTTTCAAAAGGTTCTCACCTTTGTGGTCCCCCAGTGCAGGACGTTTTGTGGTGGATATCATTCCATGTAACGACATCTGGGATTCCTAATGTTCGAGACTCCCCTACTGTGAAAATCAGTTTTTGGTCAAAGGCCCTACGAAGCAGATCCAAAACCTCGTTTCCTTCCTTGTTATCAGGCAAGTATGCAATTCGCTGTATTCCAGAAAATCTCTTCCCTGGGTTTGGGTGCTCTTTCTGTATGAAGGCAAGAAAATGTCACATGAAAACATCCGTGTCTAAATTTTACTACATGTGTAGATATGTTCATATGCAGATAGAGCAAACAAAAAACAAAAGCACTGAAGATCTGCTCATACTCCCCAAATAATTCATATTTCTTCTCTTTCCCCAAATTCATGCTGGGAATACAATCCTCTTTCCAGTGCACAATCACCACCCACCCCTTCTCTGCCTTAATAGACAAGATATCTGTTATAAGTAAACAAAGTACTTTTTACTACTTACAAAGTGAACTTTATAAGCATTTAAAATCCTTTCATATGACCATGTAGATAACTATCTGGGAAATCTACTGCCAATTGGTAATAGAACAGTCCTTGTTGCTCTGATAATCTCAGTTTACTGAAAAGAAATACATGGAACTCAGAAACACTTACTGTTTGTATGCCTCCTTCAATAGTATAAGTAATCACAATGGTGTCACAGGATTCATAACCTGGAAGTGAGTTTCTTAGAACAATAGTGCTCATTCTTCCATCTGGCTGATTCCCTTTCTGGACACCATAGGAAGTCTGGCACACAGGACAGACTGGCTTATATGAGAAGGCTTCTCTGATACAATGGCTGCAGAATTCATGCTTGCACTTTGAGAGCACTTGTTTGTTACTAATGGTGTTCAAACAGATGGCACATGTGTCCTGTTCCTCATTCACTTCTGACACCTCAGAACTGGCGGGGTGATGCAATGTTGGTGAAGCTGTTTTTGAATTATGACTATCAGTATCCATGAGTGTTTTCTCTGTAGCTGATGGAGACACCCCCCATCTGTTTAAGAGATACTGTTTTGCCTTTGTAAGATGATTCGGCAACCCAATCAAAGTCATCAACTCTCGATTTAGCACAAAGTGTATATCTGGATGCCTTTTTCTAAAATCATCAGAAAACTTTGTCCCATGTAAGTGTTTTCTCTCCTTGCCCAAAAGTTTCAGTGAAAGAACTTCTCTCATAATCTGACAAGAGACATGTTGATAGGTGTCGATGAAACTTGAATAAGCATGCATGGATAGATCTAACTCCTTGGTTTTGGGTTCAAATCGAATGCAGGTTTTCTGATTTATCCCCAAAATGTTACTTTGAGTGTCATACTTTTTTCCTATCTTTGATATCTCCTGGGATAATTCTGCTTCTAAAAGCTTATAGTGAGCGGTATCAACCTCAATTCCCTTCATCATATCCTTAGGAGTCAATATTTTCACAGGTGGCTTGACAAGACTTTTAAAGTTCTTTGAGGCAAGAAAATGTTTGGCAGCTGAAATGTCATCTGAGGTCCCAAGGAGAGTTAATTCTCCTCCTTTCTCCTTTATGAGGAGCTTTGCAAACTGGTGATTTAACACCTCTTTGATTTTGGTTGCCTGCTTACTGTCTGCTAGCGCAACACGTTCCTGCGTCAGAGTCTCTACACGCTTCTGAAATTCTTCGACAAAATCCTTGCGAGCTGCTTCGAGGTTACCTGATTGACTGGAGGTGAAGTCTAAATAGACCATATTCGGAGAACTCGTCTGACTTTTTATTTTTGTACCAAATCTTTTCTCTATGGAGGCTATTTTATCAGGGCAGGAGTGTGTGAAGTATTCAAAGAAAGCCAAGGGAACTTCAAAACGGTTGCCTTTTTCTTCTGACCTGCTTTCTGATTCGAAGGGAGAAACACAGCTGTTCCTGTCCTGCTGACTGAGTGGCTCCCTCTCTGATGTCAAAGGGGAAGATTCATGTTTCTGCTCCCTTTCCAGGAGCTGGTCACTTAAGAACCCATGTATTTTTTCAATATCTTTGAAGTTACCACAGACTTTCTCAGTTCCATCATGGCCCTTCACTAGTTTGACATTGGGGTAGAGAACAGCGATGCGGTCCCTTTGCTCTTTAGAGAACAGTTGACAGTTCAGTTCCGCCGTGACAGTAAGAAAGATCTGAAATTTTAAAAGGGAACAAATAAAATATATTAAACATCCAGGTCTATGTTCTCCTCTCAGGAGAATGTCTAGAGATGAGAGACATAACCATGACAACTTCTTTCAATTCCTTTCTGCAGAGCAGGCAATGTACTGCAGCCCAGAGGCACCCCTGCCCTGATAAAATAGCCAGCCCTGTTTGCACACTGGAATTGCCCAGGGAGAAAAAAAAGCTGAGGCCCAGGCCCATCTTCAGAGATTGTGATGTAAATGTAGCATCTGGGCATTAACATTTTTAAAAATTCCAAGGACAAAATGTCTGGATTCTAGAGCTGCCACTGTTGGTTTGACCTTGGCGAGTCGGGTGGAGGCTAGGCATTTCATTTTCTGGGTAAATTGCTATGTTTCTGACTAAAGGGTGTGAGCCTGGGAGGGGGCCATACATGTGAGGATGAAGTTTCTTCCTATTATTGTTTTTTCTCTCCTATGCTCCTTCTTTAAAAAAAAAAAAAAAAAAACTAACCCCCTAACTGCATGCAATGTTGCTAGTCCCTCTAAACCATGGCCTTTAGAAACTCAAATATGAGAGAAACCCCAGATTAGGCAAAAAAAAAAAAAAAGGACAGTGGCAAATTGAACATAATATAAAAGCAAGATTTCTAATGTTTTGTTCTCCCTCAAAGTCTTCGCATAAGCTGTTCCCTCTGCATGTAACACTTTTCCTCTAGATCTTCCTTCAAAATGTTTCCTGAATCCAGCTACTTCTCACACCTCCATCAGGACCACACAGAGTCCAAGCCAATGTCTTCTGGCACCTGGCTCACTGCAGCCCCTCCTAATTGGACTCTGACCTTCCACCTCTGCATTTTGCTAGATTCAGTCCTCCACACTTCAGCCAGAGGGATCCTTTAGAAATGTGAATCAGTTCACTCTACCCCCCTGCTCAAAACTGCCTAAGGATTCTCCTGATATCTAACTTGAAATCCTCAGTCCTGACCTTCACCCCGCAGAGACCAGACTTCTGCTGCCTCTTTCAAGGCCCTCTCTCACCCTCTTGCCCTCTGCCCTCCAGCCACACCCGTCTCCCTCCTTGAAGCTTCTGGGCTGGGGAGGTAAGTTCCTGTCTGGGTGTGTTGGGAGTGGGGGTGGCTGTGTCAGCTTTACACCTGTTATTTTCCCTCTGCCTAGAATCTTTTTCCCCTAGAAATTAACTTAGCTAGCTCCCTTACTTTATTCGTGTGTCTACTCAGAAGTCACCTGATTTGAGAGGTTTTTTTCCCGATATCCTATTTAAAATAGTAGTCCTTTACTATCATTTATCCTGCTTTACGGGCTTCCCTGGAGGCTTAGTGGTAAAGAATCCGCCTGCCAATGCAGGAGATGCAGGTTCAATCCCTGGGTTGGGAAGATCCCCTGGAGGAGGGCATGGCAACCCACTCCAGTATTCTTGCTGGGAAAATCCCATGGACAGAGGAGCCTGGCAGGGTAAAGTCCATGGGGTTGCAAAGAGTCGAACATGACTGAATGACTAAACAACAACAAATTCTGCTTACTGGCAGATATTTTATTCCCTATCTATATGATTACTATTATTGTCTGGTTCCCTAGAATGTAAGGTCCCTGAGGGCAGGGTCTGCTTGTTCCTGGCTGTACCTTGGGCCCCTGTGACAGTGCCTGGCACATAGCAGGCAGTTGACTCTGATTTGTCAAATGTCTCTGCATGGTTGGTCCCTTCTCATCATTCAATTCTCAAGCCAAATATCATCTCCTCAGTGGCTTCTGGCCAGAAATAACACAAACTCCTTCTCTTTCCTTGCCCCAGCCCTGTCACTCTCTAAGGTAAAACCCCATTATATTTTCTTCTTAGCACATATCACTGTCTGAAATGACTTTAGTTATTTTGCTTACTTGCTTATTGTCTATGTACTTCTCCATCCCCAGCAGGGACCTGTTTGTTGTGTTCACCTCTGTGTACCTCTGAGCTTCCCTGGTGGCTCAGATGGTACAGAATCTATCTGCAGTTTAGGACACCTGGGTTCGATCCCTGGGTTGGGAAGATCCCCTGGAGGAGGGCATGGCCAGCCACTCCAGTATTCTTGCCTGGAGAATCCCCACAGACAGAGGAGCCTGGCAGACTACAATCCATAGGGTCACAAACAGTAGGGTACCACTGAGTCACTAAGCCCAGCTGTCTCCCAGTGTCTACAACAGTGCCAGGCCCATAATAAACCATCAGCAAATGGTCCTTGGACTGGAGAGGAAATTGCAGGAATATACATAGCTCCCTTCAATACCCACCTTCTGGAGACAGGAATCTGCAGCATTATGAATGTCCTTTACATTTGGAGGCTTCTCACCGTGCCTTGCCCCTTTTTGTGACTGTGTTGAAGAAGACATCTTGGTCTTCTCTTTTGCATTTTCATTGGGTTCCAGGAAAATAGTCACAGGTTGGTTGTCAACCACAATTTGGTGCTTTCCTTTTTTCAAGACTCCATCCTTACCTTCAGTGGAGACATTAAATATACACATACACATAGAAATGAGAGCAATTTCAAATAACCCTCTTACTCATGCATCTGTACCTTGCCCTGGCACCCTCACAGTAAGGGCTCTTGCCTGCATCCTGGAATGGTGGGTTAACCAGAGGGTGAGGGACCTATTCAAAACTCTAAAAAAAAGAAAGTCACTCAGTCGTGTCCAACTCTTTGCCATCCCATGGACCACACAGTTCATGGAAATCTCCAAGCCAGAATACTGGAGTGGGTAGCCTTTCCCTTCTCCAGGGGATCTTCCTGACCCAGGAGTCAACCCGGGGTCTCCTGCATTGCAGGCGGATTCTTTACCAGCTGAGTCACCAGAGAAGTCCCAAAACGCTAAAGAAGGCAGCTTAAGTTCTACTGTAGAAAGGAAAGCTTAATGATAATGGAATATCATCCACTCATGAAAAGTCACGTTCCTGAAACTGTCACCAGTTTCCCATTTCAGTGTCATGGAATAATGATCATCATAAACCAAGTGAGAAGAGCAGGAATTAAAGAGTAGATTCAGGTTTGTAACTACATATATGTTTGCTGACACTCAGAGGAAAAGGCCAGGAGGAAATACACCAAAATATTCGCATTGTTTTTCTCTGGGTGTTTTCTTCTTTATTCTCTTCTCCCCTTTCCTTAGTATCTATAACTCTTGCAGTTCTAAAAAACAAATCAATGGAATGATGATGAAAAACATCAAAGTGAAATACCCAAGTGGCAGGGGCGTCTGGGGACGGCAAGGGTGCTCTGTCACCACGCACCAAGGGGACACTGAGTATCAGCCAGGTCAGAGACTGGGCACTGCTTTGGGGTTGCGTCTGTCAGCAGGAGCCCCCACTTCCTGGCTCCCACCGGACGGTACCAGACTTTTTCCCACCGTCTCTCCTAGATAAGCTTGAACTGGGTCTGCATGGAACGCCCGGGGGGCCCCTCCAGGGACGGCGACTGCCCCCCAAGCCCCGACCCTCAGCTCACCCGCCCTTTGCAGGAACTGCACCCGGAAGGTGTTCGAGTTGGGGTCGCTGCGGTCCAGGGCTTGGACGGTGCACTCCCCGCCGCCCGATTCCCGGCTCTGGAAGTACTTTTCTAGCTTCCATTGGAGGCGGGTGCCGGGATGGGACACCCGCACGAGCAGCGGGGACGGAGGGCAGAGGCTAGAAGCCATGGCTGTCCGCTCAGGGATGGCGCCGCGAGTTGCGACGACGCAGCTGGGCCGGGCCAGGGCAGGGGTGCCTCCGCCCCGCCGCCCTGGGGCGCAAAGTTTCAGTTTCTCTTTCCCGGAGATCCTTCTCGGTTCCTGGCAGAGCCGCACCCCCTCCTCTCTTCGCCGCCCTCCTGGCCGCGGACTGCCAGGTGAGTAGGTCCCATTCTCTGTTCCCGGGGCGGTGGGCGCAGAGGTTTCCCGGGGTCCTCTCCTGCGGGCTCGCGCCGGGGGCAGGGAGAGGCGCGCGAGGGATGGGCGCCCAGTGCTGGGCTTCCCCTGGGGAGGGTGGAGACGGGGCAGATGCTCAAGTCAGAGAAAGTTTCTCCTGAGTTTGATTCCTTTTAACTCTTACTGTTACTGTTATTTGCAGGGAAGATGTAATTCACATTCTAAGTTCAGGTTAAACTTACCTACATTCCTAAAAACTTGAATTTGTTCACCTGAATTATGAACACCTGTTCACCTCTCTGTCACTCGGTGCTTTAGACTGGCTCTTCTGGCTTTCCCGCCCTCCTTTCTCCATTTAGCCAACAGTGCTGAACTTCATGGGGGCTTTCCTGGTGGCTCAGGGTTAAAGAATCCGCCTGCCAATTCAGGAGACCCAGTGACACGGGTTCCATCCCTGAGTGGGGAAGATCCCCTGGAGTAGCAAATGGCAACCCACTCCAGTATTCTTGCCTGGAAAATTCCATGAACAGAGGATCCTGGCGGGCTACAGTCCATGGGGTTGACTGAGAAGGTATGCACTGAACTGCACGCTGCCCTGTGTACTGTGGCACACAGGTGAGTGCCGAGGTGCCAGACCTCACCTGCTGCTAACTGGAGTCAGACTTGTGACTCAAGAAGCAAAATCTCTCGAAGCCCTCAAGAGGAAGTTTGAAGTAAAGCAGACCCTTAAAAGAGAAGCAGAGGGAGGGATGGGTCTCGTCAAAGGCACAGGGACCACTGTATGTGAAGCACAGAGGTAGCACAGAGGCTTTGGAGAGGATGCGATGGATAACGGAGATGACAGAGGAAGGGTCCAGTGGAATATAATGTGTCTAATAGAAATATTGGGCTTCCCTGGTGGCTCAGATGGTAAAGAATCCACCTGCAATGCGGGAGACCTGAGTTTGATCCCTGGATTGGGAAGATCCCCTGGAGAAGGAAATGGCTACCCACTCAGTACTCCAGTATTCTTTCCTGGAGAGCGCCAAGGACAGAGGAGCAAATATAATGTGAGCTACATATTAATTTAAAATTTTTCAGTAGCTAGAATTTTTAAAGTACCCACAGGTGAAAATAATTTTATGTTCTTTTGCTCCCTGTATCCTAAATTAACCATTTCATCATGTAATCAATGTTAAAAACTTATTAATGAGATATTTTACACTCTTTTTTGTCATCGTTAGTCATTGCAATCTAGAGTTAGCTCACATTTATATCATCTTTTAGTTGTGTTAAGCCACGTTGCCACATTTCAAGTGCTCCAAGAGCTGCATGTGACTAATGGCCCACACTGGACTGCACAGTTCTAGACGTCGAAAAATCTTGAAAATCGATAGGGAGATATGGAAGATAGATAAGTAGGGCAAACAGGAGAGTGATATGTCAGATGTGCATTTTAGAAAGGTGGTGTTGGCAATGATGTTGAGGACACATTTCCATGCAAGGGTGAATGGAGGTGGAGAGGCCAGAGATAAAGTTTTTGCACATGTCTGGTAAGACTAGAAATAGGTGTCTTTATACAGAGCAATTTGGCTGTACTATCAGAATTATGACTGTATATTCAATCTTATTTTGCAGGTCCACTTCTAGGAATTTGTCCTGTTGATTGATTAGCACCTGCGTGAAGTGACCTATGTACTAAGTTGTTCTTTATAGCTTTTTTATAATAGCAAAAGATTAGGAACCCCTTACGTGTTCTTAAGGGCTTCCCTGGTGGTTCAGATGGTAAAGAATCTGACTGCAATGTGGGAGACCTGGGTTCGATGCCTGGGTTGAGATGATCCCCTGGAGGAGGACATGGCAACCCACTCCAGTATTCTTGCCTGGAGAATCCCCATGGACAGAAGAGCCTGGTGGGCTACAGTTCATGAGGTCGAAAAGAATTGGACACTACTGAGTGACTAAGCACACAGCGAGTGTCCATAAAAGGGGTTACTAGTAGTTGAATAGCTTACAATGCATCTATGTGATGGAATATAGGCTAACATGGAAAGATCTTTAGGATACCTTAAATGGAAAAGGCAAGAGGCAGAACAGGGCATATTAGATGCTACCATTTGAGGATGGGCCCAGGCTCTGAGGAGCACTCTGACCAAAGCTGGTGTCCCAGAGCTTCTTCCCCAAGAGGGCAAAGGCCCAGAAGTGAAGGAGAGTTTGGAGAGCATCAACTCATGCCATTTCACAGCACTGAAGTTCTGTGGGAGCGTTAGGTATGTAAAGGGGAGGCTGGGAAACTGAAATTTCAAAGAGACCCTTGGATGCCAGGCTGAAGAGCTTGAGCTTTACCATAGGCAATGGAGTTTGTTGAACATTTTGAGCAGAGAGTGCTTCTCAATAAATGTCTACTTCATGAGAGTTAAAAAAAAAAAATGCTACCTTTTGTATAAAAATGCCCCTGGAAGGATATTGGTGAAGCTAATAGCATTGATTGTCTCTGGGAAGGGAATTTAGTGAGGGGAGTAGGAGGGAGCCTTTTATACGTTCTATATTTGAACCAGTAAATGTACCTGGTAACTATTCAAACAATAAAGCATAAAATTAAGTACATTTAAATCTTTAAAGAGAATGTATTGCCATAGCTCAGTCAAGAAGCCCTGAAAGCCGTGAAGTGAGGTGGTATCTGTGGGCAAGGAGGGTAGGACCATATCTAAAAGTGATTTAGGTGGACAGGACCCTGTGATGAACTGAATATGAAACAGAAGAGAAGATTCTAGATTTCTGACTTGAGTAGATAAATGGTGTATTGTTTACCAAGCTGTGGAACCCAGGAGATAAAGCATGGATTTTGGAGGGATTGGGTGAGGGTAGGTAGCAATGTGGGGAGTGGAGATGAGATTATGGATCCAGATTTTCAGAGGCTATGTTTGAGGGAACTATGGGATGTTCAGGTAGACTTGAAAAATTAGTGTTAGGAGAGCCATAGCCTAGAATTACAGGTATGGGAGTCATATTTGCAGCTGGTGAGTTGAAGTCATGAGAGTAGATGAGATCACATTTGGAGAGTATAGAGAAGGAGTTGAGACATGCCTCTCATAAAGTCCTGGGGCAGCTGATGAAGGTTGAATCCAGTGGAAAGGTCTGTAAAGGCAAAGTGAGAGGTAACAAGAACCAAGGGAAGATGGCATTGGAGCAGAGGATCAGGAATCAGATCGTGAAATGAATGAAACTAGAGAGAAGGGCCAAATAACGATTAGAACAGAAGAGAGTCCACTGGGGTTAGCCACCTGGAAGACCCTGAGGAGCAATTTCAGAGAACTGGGGTTCGGGAGCCAGACTGCTGTGGGCTGAGCAGGCAGATGGACAGAGTCAACTCCTTCAGCCGCCCATGAAGAGAAAGGAACATAGTAGGACCAGCGATGAAAAGTTGGGAAGGCTTTTGTCGCTGTTGTTGTTGTTGTTAAAATAGAAGAGATTGATGTTTTGGGCCATATGCTCCTTTCCTTGTTTCTAATTACTTTGGGGCTAAAAGAGTGCCGCCCCCTACTGACCAGTCTGTCCCAATGCCTTTAAAACTGCCTGGTGGCTCAGTGGTAAAGAACCCTCCTGCAACGCAGAGGACGTGGATTCCATCTCTGGGTCAGGAAGATTCCCTGGAGAAGGAAATGGCAGCTCACTCCAGTATTCTTGTCTGGGAAATCCCATGGATAGAGGAACCTAGCGGTCTACAGTCCATGGGGTCGCAAAGAGTCGGACATGACTGACGACTAAACACAGCACAGCGCATCGAAAGCAAAGACCCCCTGGCAGCCCACAGCCGAAGCCGGCTCAGTTTTCCTTCTTTTGTGAAAACAGCAGTGCCCTCTGGAGGCAAAAATGTGTCTTCTCCTTGCATTTTGGGATTGTACTTGGACTTGCTTTTCCTGATATTTAATAATAATCGTGCTCTGATACTGCAGATAGCTGTTCAAAATTTTCCTTTTGCAAAAGCATTAGAAATTATTTCAGAGGCCCTCAGGCAACTGTGTGGCAACAGGTGTGAGCACCTGTGTCTTTAAGGATTTTTATTCTTATTCTCCATAGTCTTTAATTCTTTTGTTAGAAAAATCATTAAAATGTGTTTTTCCAGGGTTTCTGATTTTTATCCACATAATCCCCTTTATAATTAGCTCAGGGATATTTGTCATAAATTCAGTAATGTACATCCCCACAGGCACAAATACAGTATCCTCTTTCTTCAGACATTGTCCAGGGGTCTTCACTCATTCATAGGCTTGTTTTCTTTTTTCTTTCTTTTTTTTTTTCTTTTTTCTTTTTCTTTTGACTTTCCCATGTCTTATTAACAATCTTTTAGCGTTTAAATTTTTTATTTTGCTGTTGTCTTTTTTCCTGAATGCAACAGTCAAATTGTGCAAATTGCAATGTATTGTCCTTAAGTCATTTTTTAATAAATTTTAACTGAAGGATAATTGCTTTACAATATTAAGGTGGTTTTTGCCATACATCGACATGAGTCAGCCATGGGTGCACATGTGTCCCTCCATCCTGGACCCCCCCTCCCACTTCCCTCCCCACCCCATCCCCCTGGGTTGTCCTAGAGCATGGGCTTTGAGTGCCCTGCTTCATGCCTTGAACCTGCACTGGTCATTGTTTTACATATGGTAATGTACATGTTTCAATGGTGTTCTCTCGCATAGGCTTGTTTTTCCTCATTACTCTCTGAATTCTGTGCTCACGTGTCGTCATCCTCCTCTTCTAAAAATGTAAACGCCTGCTTCATCCTTCAAGACCTGGCCCTAGCCTCACCTTCCCCATACAGATTTCCCTGCTGTAGCCCATACAGCTCTTTGCCTTCTTTGAAATGCCATTATGGTTTCAACTGGAAGCTCTCAGTAAAAGATAAAAGGTAAACAGTAACAACAGAAGCAAAAACAGTGTTTGCACCTTCACCAATGGAATGAAAAATAACTCAAGATCAGAAATCATCTTTAGTCTTCCTGTTGTGTATCCTCACCAAATTCCCTAAGATACTCATCAGTGCTTATGCATCCTTTGATTCATTCCTAGAAGGGGACTGCCATATTTGGGAAACGCAAAACAGAGCAAACATTGAAAGACCTCAGAGACCTGGAAGATGGACTTTTCCAAGGTAAAAAGCATAAATGTAGAAGTAATAAACTTTGATCAGCACATGAATAGTTCTTCCTATGATAGCAAAAATAGTGGGATTTTCAGTTTATACCTGGCATTCTTGTTTGGTTTTAATATCCCAGTAAAAGTTTTCTCCTTGCCTCATGTGAGAGATGGGGAATCAAGAATGTGCTAATATAATCAACAGAGTCAACATGAGGATGGGTGATTTTTTCAGAATGTTGCCTCAGTATCATTTTTATTTTCTCTGCTCAGCAATTCTACTTTTGTAACATCAGGAGTGGAGAAGGAAATGGCAGCCCACTCCAGTAATCTTGCCTGGAGAATCCCAGGGACAGAGGAGCCTGGTGGGCTGCCGTCTATGGGGTCGCACATAGTCAGACATGACTGAAGTGACTTAGCAGCAGCAGCATGAGGGAAGGAGGTGGAGGGAGGAGAAATAAAAGTAAGGGACTAGGAAAAAGGCACCTCATTGGTTTATCCTGAAAATTCCACATTCAGACTCATGTTATTACATAAGCCATTGAAAGTGGGTCCTTTCAGGTTGATGGGGAGGTGAAGCTGATGAGGCTTTTGTCCCCATGTCTTCTATTCTGTCTAGAGGAACCCCACAAGCCTTTGGAGATTGGAGTCCTCTCTGAGAGTTTGGGGTCTTTTTGGTCTGTGACCTTTGAGCCTTTTCAGGTGGTAATTGCCAACCCTTCATCTCATCCAGAATTAAAAGTACATCGGCCTCTAGGGAAGAGGGGTAGAGTCAGTGTTGACTGGAACACTTAGTATTTCAAGTATTCCAGGCACATTGATCAAACAAATGTGTTCCCCTTCCCCCCTCCAACCCAGGGCTCTTAGGAAGGTTTCTGTTGCTTTGTGTTTATGAAACTGTATTTGTCATCAGTAATCTGTAAATTATTCCATCTCGATGTTTTTGAAACCACTCTCGCTTTTCACAGGGTGTTGGAGCAGCAGCTGACAGTGAGAAATCAGGTAGGATTACCTCACTGTCACTCTTGCCTCAGAAAATCTTTGCTCAGATCTTTCCTCAGTGGAGAAAGGGGAATACAGAAGGAGACTATCTTCCCCACCAGTGCTCAGGTGCGTGACAGCAGGACCTTGTGGGGACCCAGCACATGCCTCAGAGAGGGACTGCTTCGAAGGTGGTGTGGACCCAGCAGATGCGTGTTTCTAGGGCTCCCGTTGATCCTGTCCTTTGCCCACAAGATGGGAGTCTCTTCTGACCACAGCCCTAGAACTAAAACTGGCACGAGAGGTGACCCACTGGTTGTCTTCTTGCTCAGCAAGGCTTTTAAGAGCCAAGTGTAACCTACCTCATCCTCAACGGTGACCCCCTTGAGATTTCCAACCACAGCACAAGCCTATAGGCTCTGACTACTCAAGTGCTGCTGCTTTGGGGTAACTGAGGCCATTAGAGGTCTTTCTAGGTGGGTCAGATTAGAAATGGGAGTTGAAGTAAAAACTAATCAATTACTGTTGTTCAGTTGCTAAATTGTATCTGACTCTTTGGGACCTCATGGACTATAGTGAACTAGGCTCCTCTGTATTCCACTATCTCCCGGAGTTTCCTTGAATTCATGCCCATTGTATGGGTATGCTATCTAACCATCTCATCCTATGCTGCCCCCTTCCCCTTTTGCCTTCAATCTTTCCCAGTCAGTGAAATTACTACATTGTATCTAGTTTAGGACACAGATTTTTTTCAGGTCTCTGAAATAAGGCTGCTCCCTATCCACTGACAGGTTTAGTTGGCATCGTTTTTCCTTTCTTGGTGGCATATAATAATGCTTTAGACCCCATGAACTACAGTGTCACAGGTCAGGTTCTCCAGGAAGCAGAAAATGAGATGGAGTTAGGAATGCTGAAGGCTTATTGTGAAAGGAAAAGAGAAGAAACTGGATTGGGCAGGTGGAGCCATCAGACTGTAATGATAATCTGGCAAAGCTCTGCCAGCCTAAGATTGCTCTTGGGCGAAGTTGGACATCAGTGGCCTTGTCCAGCTATTGATGGAGCCACCCTGAGAATAATGTGACCTGGGCTGGAAAGCTGAGGGGCTAACACCTGGAGGATGTTGGCTAATCATACTCCCCGCTTCACTGAAGGAGGTTATGAGCAGCTAGCACATCATCTTGCAGCCACCTGCAGAAAATACTTTTTAGCCAATCAGTTTTAATTCCACCAAAATCATACAACAAAACTAAAATATGATGAAGAATTATTTACCATCCTATTGTCAGTGCTTCTCCCATCTCCTGGACCATGCCCCCAGGAGCATCCTCAACCAATGACTGATAGAAACAGGGTTTCTACTACTTATTGGGTATTTACTGTATGGTAGGCACACAACTAAGCATTTTATGGTGATACCATGGAAAACTCTTGGATATCCTTGGTCTAAGGAATAAGGGAGAAGCAGGAAGAGGCCTCGAAGAAGTTCATCTCTCTTTTTGCATAGAGGAATCTCAGTCTCCTGGTGTGAAGTAGGATTATATCCTTTACAAAGGACCCCTTGCTCATTTATTTTTTTATCTTCTCTCCATTTCCAGAGATTGATACTCTCAGAGGAAACTACAGTCAGCAAATTTCTATTAGTCATGACAACTTCAAAATTTTAAAAAATAATGAGAGTCTGCTGTGTGAAGTCCTCCAGAATAAATTTGACTGTAACTTTACCCTGGTGTCTCCGGCCCGGGAGGGTAACAATGAGTCTCTACGAGTCTTCAGAAAAATGCTGACTCCCAGGGTAGAGTTATCTGTCTGGAAGGACGACCTTACCAGACATGCTGTTGATGCTGTGGTGAATGCAGCCAATGAAGAACTCCTGCATGGAGGGGGCCTGGCCCAGGCCCTTGTGAAAGCTGGCGGCTTTGAAATCCAAGAGGAGAGCAGATCATTGGTTTCCAAATACGGCAGAATTCCAACTGGTGAGATAGTTACCACAGGAGCAGGGAAGCTTCCCTGCCGATACATTATCCATGCTGTTGGGCCTCGGTGGGCATTGATGGATAGCCAGGAATGTATTGATAAACTGCAAAGAGCCATTATGAATATTTTGTATTTTGTCAACAGTAAAAATTCTATGAACATTGAGACAGTAGCAATTCCAGCCCTGAGCTCTGGGATTTTCCAGTTCCCTCTGGATCTGTGTACAGAGATCATTGTGCAAACTATTAAGTTTTATTTCCAAAGTGTGCCAATAATCAGTAATTTGAGAGAAATTCATCTGGTAAGCAATGAGGACCCTACTGTTGCTGCCTTTAAACTTGCTTCAGAAGTCAACCTAGGAAGGAATGAGCTGGAATCCTGGGTAAGTCAAGGAGCCACCCAGCCTTTCAATACTATGGTTGTGAATAACATGACTCTTCAGATTGTCCAAGGCCTCATTGAAAGGCAGGAGGTAAGTCTTTGTTTTATTCTCTTTCACTGCCAAAGGGGATCCCTGAACTGTGTATTACCTAGCAAGTATGTTTTCAGCATATACTATTTCAAACATGGTTTAGAAAGTATCTTATTTAGTTTAAGAGTATGGATTTCAGAGCCAGACCATCTGGATTTCAATATTAGCTTTGCCATTTACTAACTGGATGACCTGAATTGAGTTACTTTACCTTTTGGTCCTCAGTTTCTTCATCTGTAAAATTAGGATAATAATAGCACTTATATCTCAGAGTTGGAATCAGAACACATAAACTGCTTAGAATAGAACTTGGCATGTGATAAGTATTTATAATTATTACCATTATTCTCAAGCACAGTGAGAAAATAGAACAATCTTTGATTCTAAAGAGGTAAAAATCTACTATATTCTTTTCACATAGAAAGATTCTCTAGTTGAAAAGTCTCGCTGGGGAGACAAACCATCTGAATATTTCTAAAGCAACCTATCAGTAATAATAAAGAGTCTCAATTCAAAGTGAATTCATAATATTTCAGAGCATGTACATTTTGTCACAGGACTGGAGTGTAGTAGATCAAGAAGGATTATTTCAGAAGATATGAGTTTGAATTTGATCTCAAGTTATGATGGTTATGAATTGGCAGAAGAGGCCTGGGTGGTTAGAATGACTTAGCAGAGAGATACAGAGAAATTGACAGATCAAAAGTGATAGGCTGGACGAGTACTAGGTGGAGCTGTAAATTGTATGTGAGTCTATGGCTCTGTGCCAGCAGCTGTGGAGGATATAAATTGTAACTTAGCATTTAGCTGGGAACAGTAGGGCACAAAGGTGAGGGCATTGACAGGCAGGGGAGAGAGTCAAGGTAACAGTGAGCCAGGTATTTCTGGATTAGTGCAGCTTCTCTACCAGGCAGAGAGCACCTTGACGGTGGGGACTGTCACTTGTTCATCTCTGTAACCCTGGAGCTGGTCTCTGGGCATCCATGTTGGTGTTCAACAAGTTACTGACAAATAAGTGAAAGGAGGCAGCAGAGAGCAGGGGCTGCAACAGAGGAAGAGAATATAAGGCTATATTCTCTATTTCCCCCATGGATCCGTGGCTCTCCTGTGGCCAGAGTCAAACAGAATTAATCACAAGTGAAAAAAATTCCATTTATTGCTTACGACAATTAGAAAGAAGACTGAGGGGACCCCATGAGATGAAATATTTATTTGATAAATCATTAATATGCCAATTTAAAAGTGGAAACATCCTGGTTGAATAGCTTATTCCTTTAACTAAAATTTTATTATATTTAATTATTACCAACATTAAGAATTTTAAAATCTGTAAAGGGTGCCAGTGCCTCCAACTTGCAAATTCTGATTGCACTTTCAAAGTGACACATTCATTAATAACCACAAGTAACATAAGTTACCCCCAAAAGGAGCCAAAGCCATCAAGATGAATTAGGGGGCTCTGGGGACCCCCACCAAGAGGGAGACCTACTTCCCACTGTAGACTTTTTCATCTCATTTGTGTTTTTCTTTAACCATGTGCCACTTACCTTGGAAAGCACGAACTATAGGGGGTAAAAGTTTCCTTATAAATTTTATTTCCACTCTGTGTAAGACAACATGAACATTCACATAGAAACAGTGAAAAATGAAGACAGTAGATTATAGAATGAAACCACTTATTGATAAAGCTTAAAATAAATCATAGAGAAAGTTCTGAATCTGGGAATATTGGGAGTATAAGCCAGCAAGGGGCTGACAGATGTTTGCAATAAAAATTGTATCATCTGCATGTTTAACATAATTTCTGATTAGCACGAACAGACTTACAGTAATCAAGTAATCACTCTTTGGAAATTTTATATCTGTTATTGATAGTTTTGTGGATTTAGGATCTTCAAAAGTATTTTTCAAAGCTCTTCAGGAAAATAAATATTTAAATTAGTCATTTAAGAAAAAGTAATTTAACACTGAACCCCGTTCATTTTTTTTTCCCCTTTTCAGACAGATGTAATTGTTAATTCTGTGTACTCCTGTAATAGTCTTAGTGCTGGGGCTGTGTCAAAATCAATTCTAAAAGCAGCCGGAGATGAAATAGAGCGGGAATTATACCAAAATATAACTAAGACACCACTAGATTCCCCGTTGGTACTGGTCACAAGAGGATTTAAATTGTCTTGCAAATACATATACCATGTGTTATGGACTTCAGGATATCCTGAACAAAAACTGGTAAGGTCAAAATAAATTTATCTTTCTGTGTCTCCAAAGTCTATATAATAGTCTGTTGAATTTCCATTATGTCATGACATTCATGATATGTTATTGTCAAGTGGAATATTCCCCATTCTCTACTACTCCTGTGAATACCTGAAATATTAAACAGATGTTGTGGTCACAAATTATCTTAAGAAGTTTAATTTAAATTATCGCTTAGTCCATGTCTGAATTTTAAGCGGGCATACCACAGATGGACATAGAAACATCAGGGCTCCCTATCTGCACACTTGTTCACCTCCACACCCAGTGGCGCTACAGGCCTCTTCTTACATAGGAGCCAGGGATTCAGCCTCTCCATATCTCCTGCCATCTGTTAAATCCCAGGAGGACCTGGGATCTTCCTTCTAGTACCATTCCAGTCACATCTGTTACCTGTGAGGTCTTCCCTGTGGTGAAGCACCTGTGGTAAAGCTTAGCTTTCTGGCTGACTCTACAACTGAGCGGTATAAATTACATACATTAAGGACTAGGGGGAACCCACTGAAATGTAGAGAGAGGGAAACTTAATCCCCTTTTCTGTCTTTGTCCATATTTATTTTATCACCATTTCTGATCTTCTCTTGTCTAGAGAGCCCTCAAATCCCAAATTGGTCCTCTAGTCACTCTCTGCTTTTTCCAGTCCCTCAGTTTTCCAAGGTCCTTGCACATTAGTATAATCTTCTTACATTAGTATAACTAACATATTAGTATATTAGTATAATGTAAGAAGGTTATCCAGTAACCTTCCTACTATAGTGTTGTTTGAATGTTGAAATATTGATGGAAGTTTAAATCTGCCAAAAATAAATTACATGACAGATCTTAATGACTTTAAATAAATGTTGACCACTTACTTTAACCTCTCTCTCTTTTATTAAACCTCTTTATGTTGATCCAGAAGTGGCAGGTAAGTGGGGATAAATTGAAGATTGGCTCTCTAATCCGGGGAGAAGCCTGCATAAATTGAGGGTAATCCTAGTGCCCAAATGTCTTGAATGGCACAAAATGTACCAGTCAGTCACTTCAGTTTCTCAACCCTTTCATTTCTCATCATCTAATCTTATAGCTGTAATGGGTCCCCTGTGGAGCGGTACCTTTCCTGTTCTCTGAGGAGGCATGGGCATGGCCTGAGGAATACTGGAGGTTGGCATTGTAAAATATGGGCAGGATTAAGGGGTAAGTGGGTACGTGAAGTCTTATTTTTGACTCAAAAGACTAACCTTAAATTTGTGGTTTTCCTATAGACATTGAAAGCTGCGATGAAGAAATGCCTGGAAAAATGCCTTGAACTAAATATAACTTCCATTTCCTTTCCTGCCTTTGGGACTGGAATCATTGGAATGAAGAAGAGTGAAACAGCAGAGATTATGTTTAATGAAGTTTTAATATTTGCCAGACAAAATTTGCAACAATTAGCTGTAAAGTTTGTGATTCTCCCTGAAGAATTGGAGACATATAAGGTAAGTTAATGTTTTAGAAATGTCCTGCAGTTCGTTCACATTCATTTACTCAACAACATCTATTTAATATCTCCAAAGTAAGATACAGGGTTTGTTAAGTGCTGTGGAGCATGATGATGGTCTAACTTGGTGAGATGTAATATTTATAAATCATTCACCTCTGACCTAGTAGGGAATGTCATTGTAGAAGCCATGTCTACCCCACTACCTAGCTCTTCTCTTGTCTTTTGTTGGCATTTATTCATCCCTCTGCTCCTTAAAGGTATGCAACCTCCTAGTTTTGTGGGGTCCTTTGCTCCTCCCCTTCTCTTTCCCACCTTCCAGCCTGTTCTCCATGTGGGTAGTTGCCATTTTCTCTCTCTCTACAAGAAAACAAGCTTAGACTTGTTCTAACTTGCACTTCCCTGAAACAAGTGTAAATGTTCTTATTCCTCCTGCTGCCTTGCTAGACAGGGGGAGGATTGTAGTGTTTGCTGATTTCCATTGCTGTCCTCAAGCTATCTATGTTACATCACTGGAGGAGGAATTGGAAAGAGACAGTCACTGTGGAGTCTCATGAGCCAATGTAAGCCAGCTCCAGTACACCACTGTCTCATCCACAGCTGACATGCAAAATTGGTGAATTACCCAGTGATGCAGCTTATCTTCTTGACAAAATTAAACATCCTGTCATTCAAATGAAGTTCACCAATTCCACCTGCCACCCACTGCAGAAGACTGTTACTAGGCCCAGATAGGTGCTCAGAATACATCCCTGGGCTGTCCATAAAGCACCATATCCCTATAAAAGGAATTAGCCACAAGTAGAAAAGAAAGTGGGGCTTCCCTCGTAGCTCAGTCAGTAAAGAATCGTCCTGCAATGCAGGAGACCTGGGTTTGATTCCTGGATTGGGAAGATTCCCTGAAGAAAGAAATGGCAACCCACTTCAGTATTCTTGCCTGGAAAATCCCATGGGATTCTGGCAGAGGAGCCTGGCAGGCTACAGTCCATGGGGTTGCAAGAGTCGGACACGACTTAGCAACTAAACCACCACCAGAAAAGAAAGTGCTCATTCTCGTCAACATACAAGCAAAAATGTAAATTGCAGTTCAACAATACAGAAAAGATCAACCATAGTCTGAGAGCTCCCCTGGAGGATAATAACAAAAGTAGTTGCCATGAGTTGCATCAGCCAGGTACTGTGCCAAGAAGAAGCTAGCCATTATTGTCATCTCCATCTTGCAAGTGGGACCAGAGATTAATATGTATATACCTAGTCCAGTGGCTGAGCCAAGAGTCCAACCTCTATCTGTTGGTCTGACCCTAAAGTCTGTGTTCTGAAACACTAAACAAAAATATAGGGAAGAAAATATCTTGAAAGATGATACAGCTTTCAGTATTGTGACTCAAAGGAGATTATCTTAAAAGGTAATTTATATCGTACCCTGAACAGTGACCATTCCTTCAGGCTTTTGTTCAGTGTTAACACTACATCTTAGGGCTTCCCTAGTGGCTCGCATGGTAAAGAATCTGCCTGCAATGCAGGAGACTCGTGTTCAATCCCTGGGTTGGGAAGATCACCTGGAGAAGGGAATGGCAACCACTCTAGTATTCTTGCCTGGGAAATCCCATGGACAGAGGAGCCTGGTGGGCTATATAGTCTGTGGGGTCGCAAAGAGTTGGACACGACTGAGTGACTACATTATATCCATGTGGAAGTATACTCCTCTAGTCTTTTGCTAAGCACATCTTTTCCTCCTAAATAAGTCTTTCAACAAGGAGTTTATGTTCAGAAAGAACAGAAGGTAGTTTGCACACTTCTTCACGGAGGGCATTACTTTGGCAAGGTCCCTACAATACAGAGAATGGATTTGTCAGACATCTAGAGTTGACCTGACTCAGGAAGACCAGCGTATACTGAACTTACATTAAAGTGATACTTATATTCACATACTGATGAATTTCCAATTCATGAATAATAATGAGCAAATAACTCCCCAGCTGACCTATATACTGTGTTCATTAGTATTTCATGATGATAAGGCTCCTGGGTGCTGCTGAGTATCTACAAAAGGCAATGGATAGTCATTCATTTGGTTATTTAACAAATATGTGTTGCATATCTACCTTGTGCCAGATATTACGTCTCAGAATAAGAAACTCCTTACTAGGAACACTCCTCACATTCTTCACATGAGTTGTTGGTCTTTTGTGGACAGAACTGGGAAAACTGCCAAGTTCTTGCCATTTGGATCTTCATTTCCAAACTGCTTGTTATCCACACCTTCTAAATTCTTGGTCCTGATTAAGTTACAGTTTTCTTTCATTTTCAATTCAAAAGGCTTGCCTCATTGATTTCTAACCCAGGAATGCATACTGACTTTAAGTGAGTTTGGAAAACAGCTGATTTTTATCCATTTTGTGTTTGACAGATATTATTAGTCCATTTATCAGCAGATAATATTATCTTGTTTATTTTGGAGGGCAGGGAAGCTCCTCCCTGTTATGACCACTCCAGGTACTAAATAAATATGAGGGCTTTTTTGCTTTGGAAATAGCAATTGCAAATATAATTTTTGAAGTAAAACTGCTACAGGTTAAGAAACTTCATTATTAAAGTTCAGATGAAATGAAGATTCTAGACTTTACCTCATTATCTACCATCTTTTTCAATGAAGAATTACTGCCAATTGCATCAACTTTAAACAAAGAAGACCCTGTGCGTGGTGGTTCCAAACCCTAGGAGAGATGAGTTTTTTCAAATGGATACTATGACAAAGGATCTTCATGGCAATATACATAAATGTCTATGTGCATACTGTCATATAGTAATAATTAAAACAATAGCTAACATATTGAATATTATAACATTTTCAATATTTATTGAATATTTACAATTCAACATATTGAGTATTTACAATAACCTGGGTACAATTTTAACCACTTTACAAGTATTGATCATTCAGTCTACAGCGTGGTGTGCATATGTTTTAAAAATGAGTTTGTTTTATTGATTACAAGAACATCTGCCACTATTTGTCTTCTTCAGTGATATAGCCACACCTTTAGTTCAGTGCCTAATATATAATTTGTGATTGTCGTGTTGAGTGTGGGTGCTCAGTCATGTCTGACTCTGCAACCCCATGGTAGCAAGGCATTAATATCTGTGAATGATTATATTTTGCTTTGGGATGTACATTCTTTTTTATGCCAGATTTTAAGAGTTTTTCCTTTCCATTTTTCCTATACTTGTTTCCGCTCTATGTTCTAATAGATTGTAGCGCTGCATTGGCTGTTCCCGAGGACTTTCTGAAAGGTCACTTTAGATTTGTGACAGTGGGAATAGGGGATAACAGAGTGGGTGAGGCCAGGCATGGTGAATGCAAGTAAAGAGGGGGGTTTTGATGACAGTAGCTAAAGCCCCACTTAGGACTCTCCGCTCTGTTTTGCTTCTTGCAGGCTTTCAGCACTGAAATGGAAAAGAATAAGTTCAAGCTGCAGGGTCCCAACAATTACCCTGGTGGTAAGTAAGAAACTCATGGGTCTAGAAATATAGTCTCCCACCGTAGGCTCATTCTATTCTTGGTCATCTGAACTAAGGGAGGGGAGAAGATGAATACATAAGCCACCTATGTTTCATTGCACTCCTGCCTGGATACCTGTGTGCTCTATACCTGGCCATGATTCTATTTTTGCTCATCCTAGTTTCATGATATGAACAGAGAGAGGCTAAGTTACAGTCACAGTAGGTAATCCACAGTGTGGGTAGTTCATTCACAAAAAGCTGGGCTATATTTTTTTCATGAGCTTACTAAACCAGTTAGTCTTTCTGTTTTGAATGGAGTGATGTCTAAATGGGGTTACTCATTAGTAATCATAGAAAATACATCTCAGTAATATCAGATAATAATAAGTAGATTAACCCAATGCTAGTCACCATGAGTAATCAGTGGGATCATGATGGAAACTTTAAAAAACAAATAAAAATATGTATGGCCCAACTCTACAGATTCTAATTCAGGAACTCGGGGTCTGGGCCATGCATGTATATTTTTCAATGCTTCCTGGTCAGTTTGGCTGCTGAACCAGATTTGGGAATCACTGGATTAAACCAGTGCTGGTTGTTGTTGGAGAAGAATTAACTGTCTTATAACTTCATTCCTTTAGAGGAGTTTGAGTAGACTGAGATGAAATTGTGTCATGACAATTTAGATATGTAGTTCTGAAATAGTCTTTTTTCAAAAAGTAGATTTATTTACATATATATATATACACACACACACACACACACACACACACACACATATATATATATATATATATATATATATATACACACTTTTTTTTTTTTTGGTTGTGCTGGGCAACATGTGGGATCTTATTTCCCTGACCAGGGATCAAACCTATACCCCCTGCAGTGGAAGCACAGAGTCTTCATAACTGGACTGCCAGGGAAGTCTCCTGAAATAAACTCGTAATCCACAACATTCTATAGATGTTAAGAACCCCAGACATTCAACCAGCAATAGAAACGTTTAGGACATTTTCCATTTGGATCAAGACAATTTGCTTATCCCTTTAATATAGGAGTTAACTTATGGATGTTCAGTGTCCAGTAGTGTTGGAAATGAAGAAAAGGGAACTTTAAGAGCTCTGGCCTGTGACTGCACCTCTTATGAGCCCATTTATCTATCTGTATAATGATGATAATGACAGTGTGGTGAGGATAACTGGAGATTATATATGTAAAAATGTTCTATAAATTATGCAGCATTAAACAAAGGCCAGGGGATAAATAATGAATGAGAGAATGGACAAACTCCTCAGGTGACCTAGAAGAGGGAGGGATGCCCTGTAGCTGCAAGGGTGTAAGAATGAATTCATGGACAAGACAGTTCTAAGTTGCTCTTTGAAGATAGCAAGATTTTTCTTTTTTCTTACAGAATCTTTTTTATTGTTATTATACTTTATTTTAGTGGAGGATAATTGCTTTACAGTGTTGTGGTGGTTTCTGCTATATGTCAATGTGAATCAGTCATAATTATATATATATATATATCCCCTCCCTTTTTAGCCTCCCTTCCCAACCCTGGCAAGATTTTTCAATGGCCAGAGTTGGGTTGTTGGGGTTAGGGCACCCAAAGTGAAGAAAACTCACAGAAGCAAACAAACGCCGTGCATGTTTGGCAAACCACGGTGACTCTAGGGAAGCTAGATAGTAGGAGTTTTAGGAGACAATAATATGGAAGAGGAACATACAAATGTCCCTATATCATGAATCTGAAAAATGGGGCCAGGTATTGCCATTTACTTCAGAAATTATAGCACATGTTAATAACTGACATTAATGATGATGATTATCTCAGATAATTAAGGAAAAGCTGGACTATTTAGGAAGGCAGAGAAGCATATTTCCATTATAAATATTTAACTAACAAAATGAAATATGTTTTGGTCCTAAAAGCGACTCTATTAGTGTTTTGAACAATTTAGTTACCTGGAAGAGCAACTCTTCTCTCTTGATAATGATGGATAAATGAAATATCACCATGTGTTTTTTAAATTTTCTCCTAAAAAGTAATATAAGCTCCCAAATAGAACAAGGGTTTTTTTTTCCTACTTCCAATTTATTTTTATTTTATTTTTTTCCATTTATTTTTATAAGTTGTAGGCTAATTACTTTACAATATTGCAATGGTTTTTCCCATGCACTGACATGAATCAGCCATGGATTTACATGTGTTCCCCATCCCGAACCCCCCTCCCACCTCCCTCTCCATTCCATCCCTCTAGGTCATCCCAGTGCACCAGCCCCGAGCACTTGTCTCATGCATCCAACCTGGACTGGCGATCTGTTTCACACTTGATAATATACATGTTTCGATGCTGTTCTCTCAGATCATCCCACCCTCGCCTTTTCCTATAGAGTCCAACAGTCTGTTCTGTACATCTGTGTCTCTTTTTCTGTCTTTCATATAGGGTTATCGTTACCATCTTTCTAAATTCCATATATATGCATTAGTATACTGTATTGGTATTTATCTTTCTGGCTTACTTCACTCTGTATAATGGGCTCCAGTTTCATCCATCTCATTAGAACTGATTCAAATGTATTCTTTTTAATGGCTGAGTAATATTCCATTGTGTATATGTACCACAGCTTTCTTATCCATTCGTCTGCTGATGGGCATCTAGGTTGCTTCCATGTCCTGGCTATTACAAACAGTGCTGCGATGAACATTGGGGTACATGTGTCTCTTTCAGATCTGGTTTCCTCGGTGTGTATGCCCAGGAGTGGGATTGCTGGGTCATATGACAGTTCTATTTCCAGTTTTTTAAGAAATCTCCACACTGTTCTCCATAGTGGCTGTACTAGTTTGCATTCCCACCAACAGTGTAAGAGGGTTCCCTTTTCTCCACACCCTCTCCAGCATTTATTGCTTGTAGACTTTTGGATAGCAGCCAAAAGTGGAGACTGGCGTGTAATGGTACCTCACTGAGGTTTTGATTTGCATTTCTCTGATAATGAGTGATGTTGAGCATCTTTTCATGTGTTTGTTAGCCATCTGTATATCTTCTTTGGAGAAATGTCTGTTTAGATCTTTGGCCCATTTTTTGATTGGGTCATTTATTTTTCTGGAATTGAGCTGCAGGAGTTGCTTGTATATTTTTGAGATTAATCCTTTGTCTAAAAAAGTATGTCATCAGTTTAAGAATCTCTTGTCATTTCTTACAGTTGTATAAAACTTTGGCTTTTATTGTTACCAGAGGTAGGCCATTCTCCCTCTTCTGCTTCTAGGTATGTCCTGGTACTTTTTCATAGCTCCTGATACCACCCAGTTACTATATGAGCAGAAAAGATGCTAATGACCACTAATGAGATCCTGAGATCACTCACTGGGAAGCAAGATTTTGAGCACTGTAGTCAGGTTGCCCACATCTACAAGCTTCCTGGACACCACTTAGTCCTATAACTATGGGCATGTTACTTAATAATATTTCTGAATCAATTTCCTCATTTGTAATATGGAAACTACTAATAGTACCTACCCATCTCATAGGACTGTGAGAATTGAAAACAGAATACGTATAAAGTACTTAGAATAATGCCTGGAAATAGTAAGTATTCAACTTACTTTTTCCCCCTCAAAATATGTCTCCAAGATTCATCCAGGTAGCTAAAAACTCCTTTTCATTGCTATAATATTCCATTGTTGAAGGGCATCTGGGTAGTTTCTAGTTTTTGTGAACTCCTTGTGTACATCTTCTGATAAACAAGTGCAAAAGTTTCTTTAAATAATATAATTATAGGAGTGGTTGTCCCAGTTTTACATCTGTCATGAATATGTAGGAATTCCAGTTGCTCTATGTGTTCTTCCAAACTCTTAATATTGCCAGACGTAGAATTTTTGCCTATCTGGTTATTTTTCATTTCCCTTATTATCAAAGAAGATGGGCATATTTTCACACATATATGGGCCATTTATATTTCCTTTTCTATGAAATCTTTTGCCAAACTGGCTAATGGTTTGCTTGTTTTTCTTAATAATTTGAGGGGATTCTTCATATATTCTAGATATTGCCTTATCTAGCAATTCCCTCTTAGCTAGTACATTGGCCTCCTCCTTTGGATTCAGAGTCACTCTAATCTATCAGAGATTCTTCTTTGTATAAATCTTTTCTCTTTGTGGAGGAAGATTGTGGAGAGAGGTACAGTGGGTGCGTCGGAAACAAGTTCCATTTCCTTTTCTGCTGCAATATATACTGTGTTCAGTAGCAGTAGCTATAAAGCTCCAAATGCTGGTGATGGAGTTGCAAAATGTCCTGTCATAAAATGATAAGATATAAAATCTCAGGTTATGAAATTATGGGTATTTCTTTCTCTCATTATACTCTGATAATTTCCAATTTTTCAATAGTAAACATGTATATTTTTTATAATCAGAAATACATGTCATTTTTTAAAAAACAATTTTCATTCTAAGTTCTATGGTTTTCAGAGATGTCTGATTTTAGACCTGGTGGTAATAAGAGTTTATGGAAAATCCTATTCAGTAAGAAGTAATTGTTGGTTAACATCCAGGATGAGATTACAAGATGAACTCATCTGTAAATTGACCAATGCAACACAGCAGGGGCAAGACATGATAAACTCTGTGTTCCCAAGGAGACTATAAACTATGCTTTTAGATTTTATTTGTACCCAACACAGCTCTCAGAGATAGGTACTTAATTGAAGCTGCTACTGCTAAGGATGCTTGGGGCAAACACTGGCTATGGTGGTTTAAAACCCACCTGCCTTCTGTGGTTTCTTATGATAGTGTTTTCAGTCCCCCAGGAGACCAGAGAGAAGAAAGAAAACAGATTTCCTGTCATCAGTTTGATGGGATCCTACTGGGAAAAGATAGATGAGGCCCAAGCGTGGATCCAGAGGATACTGAGCCCCAAGGACTGCCACATCATTGAGGACAAGCACATCCTCTACCTCGGAAAAAAGGAACACGATAATTTGTTTCAGCTTCAGGAAACCTTATGCATCTCTATCTTAGAGATTGTCAGCCTGGGAAAGGCACATTTAGAGATTAGAGGAGCTCAGGCTGACCTCATTGAGGCAGTTATGAAAATTGAACAGATGCTATGTGAAGCTCAAGAGAAAATGGCAAGAACAAAGGAGCGAGTCCTTTGGAGCTTGTCAGGTGAGTAACTTTCTATTAGATAAGAAAAATCAGCTCTTCAAGCTTTTGAGTGTGAGCATTCATATGTGTAAGTGGGTGACAGAAAGAATGGAAGAGGAGAGAGAGCAAACTATGCTGGGTCTGTGTTGGGCCATAAACTTTTATAACCATTTTTTGACTCTACCAGCAAGGTTAATTATTAGTAAATGAAAATACACACACACACACATACACAGTTGGATTTACTGATGATGACATGGATTGCTTAAGAGGCAACTACATGCAAAACCCAGGGTATCCCAAGCCCAGGCTCTAGGAAAAAAAGTACATCCCTAATTCTGCAGATGGAACATTCAGATACAAATACATTCCACTTATTTAATTCATTTCTTTGAGTTTTATTGGAGTGAGTTATTGCTGGCAGCGTTAAAAGCCCTAAAATTACTTACTTTGTGCCTTCTCACCAGAGTAAATTGTTCATTGGTACTGTGAGATCCAGTCAAGCATCACTCATTCAATGGGGCAAAATCCATCAGGATAACTGTGAGAATCTGGGTCTCGAGAGATCCTTTAACTTAGTCCTAGAGCTCACTAGGAAATTATACCATTAAAAATACTGCCTTGGGAGACTGAGGCTAATTTTTTCATTTATTTGACTAATGTAAGCAGGTTAGTTATGAAACAGGAAGGTGAAAGTGCTATGGAAACTAGGTGAGGCTCCTAACCCAGACTTGGGACGTAAGGGGGAAACTTCTCAGGGGAGGTGTTGCAAATGGAGAAGTGAAGACTAGGTAGGAGTTAGTAAACAAAGAAAGAACTTTCAAGAAATCAGACCATCACTAGGCCTAGGTTATGCAAGACTTTATAAATCACATGAAAATATTCAAAGTTTTTATTGAAACACATGGAGAACCTTAAATGATTTTAAGCAAAGACAAGGTCAAACTTGTATTTTAGAAAGATCTTTGGTTGTAATGTGGAGAATGAATTTAGTACAAAAATTCAGATGTGTAATTTCAAAGAATACCTTATTTTCACCATGTGTTTGTAAAAATAGTTCAGGCAGATATAGTCGAAGTGAGTGGGAGTTCACAATAAATGTTGAATCCATATTCCACAGAAAACCCAGTGTCGAAAAACATGGACAAAAGTAATATTCAAGAATGAGACCCAATATTATGATTTCTATCGAGCTTTTGAAATGTAGTGAATGTGGGTCTTTAAACTGACATTGATACTTCTTAAGAGAACAAGATTGAAAATAATACTGATCTCCTATAAAGCTTGTGACATTAACTTCATTCATAAAGTTGGCCTACTTTCCCAGCTACTGGCAATTGAGTCATGTAAGTCCCCTGCTGTGCTGCAAGGTGGCATTTTTTGGCAGTTGGTGACTAAGCATATTATTCCACAGCAGTGTTTCAGAGGTTCATAAACCCTCAGCCCCTTCTAATCAGGTTAAGATCTTCATTAATAAAATGGACAATTTTGAAATGAGTTCTTACTACAGGGAACATCAGCTATCCACATGAACAGTATGTTTTAAATAATAGAAGTTAGGCATCTCCTCTTTTATGGTGCTCTTTTAATCTTTCCTGGTGAGTGTTCCTGATAGCAGGAGTTTGTGGATCTTTGAGTTTCCAGTGCCCAGCCCAGTGCCTGGCATGTAATAGGAACTCAGTAAATGTTTGCTGAACTCTGAGATGGTTGGATGGCATCACTGATTCAATGAACATGAGTTTGGGCAAACTCGGGGAGATAGTGAAGAACTGGGAAGCCTGGTGTGCTGCAGTCCATGGGGTGGCAGAGAGTCGTACACTAATTAGTGGCTAAACAACAGCAACAGTATTGTACTTTATAAATGTGAATCATTACTCTCCAGATTTTTTTTTGTCATTTGCCAGTTAGTTTATTTCATTTTGGAAGTTACCTCAATTTTTAAATAATTTTGTTAATACATAATTATATACCATGAAGTTCATTCATTCAAAGTATACAATTCAATGGATTTTAGTATATATGCAGAGTTGTACGATGATTGCTATGATCTTATTTTTTTCATTTTTCATTGGAGAATAATTGCTTTACAGTGTTGTATTGGTTTCTGCTGTACAACTCTCCACATTTAACTTACAGACTCTTTCTTTTAAATGTCCTGGCATGGGAGTTCTCTGCTATGGAGTTATGTCCCTCCTGCTTTCTTGCTTTCCAGAGTTACAACTTGGTCCTCTCCATGAGTTTCTCTGAATTTATCACCTGTTTTTTGTGGTTAAATTGAGCCTACTCAATTACATAATGTGCTGGGAATTAGGTCATTTTAGTATATTCAGTCTTAAGTCAAACAGAAAGTAAACTGAAAGAAAAGAAGCCTTTTGGCAGGTTTTCATTTGTTCACCCATGTATAGATATTTAGTCCAATAAGGAGCTCCTTTGGGAGATAAAAGGTTGTCCCTTAAATGTAAAATTGGAATGAAGGAAAGAAATTAAGGAAGGAAAGAAGGAAGAAAAAGAGGGAAAAGGAAGGAAGGTAGGAAAGACATTACACCATAAACTCAATCTCCAAATTTTGTTCTCCTTGGCTGGGTGGCATATGAATAACATATGAATTAAATATTCTGCCTTGCCCCTTACAGAAAGCACTGGGGAAAGCCAGGTTTATAACCTTAGATCTGTACTTACTAGCTTTGTGTTATTGAGCAAGTCACTTAACTAATCTGAGTTTCTATTTTCCTGTTTGTAAAACTGTGTTAATTATTTCAGTGGTGGTGTTGTAATACTCAAATGAGGTAGAGATATGACACTGTTTTGAAAACTTTGAAGTGTTACATAAATGTCTTATTGTTTTCCATTACTCCTTAATATTTTCTTATGTTTGTCTCTTTTTGTTGATTGGCCTCCTGGCTAGAAATACAAACATTTCCTATTAGCAAAACAACTATACATCATCATTACAGCATTGATAGGGAAAATATATATTAATGCTCTTTTTCCTCTTATCCCCTCAACTTCATAATCTAAATCAATCTGAGGACAAATTTATTACCCACCCCCCATTTTATCCTATGATTTCTCATGGGATTATAGCTGTCATTGCATGCCATAAACACATGAGGCATACAAATTAAACTGCTAATCTTCTCCTCCAAATTTTTATAATTTATTTCATTTAATTTCTGCTTATTTATTTATTTGACTGGGCTGTGCCGCTTTTGGGATCTTAGTTTCTCAACCAAAAATTGAACCCAGGCCCTGGCAGTGGATACACCGAGTCCTAACCACTGAACCACCAGGAAATTCCCTCATTTAATCTCTTTACAAACTTTTTCCTCTCATAGATCACTGAGACAAAGTTTTATGTTACTTATTTTTAGGGCAGCACACTGATCAGCAACCAGAGAACCAGAATCAAATGAAGGAAAATACATTTCTGAAATGGCTAACACTTTCAGCTCCAGAAATTCAGGATCAAAAAAAACAGTTTGAAGACTGTGGTTTGCGAGTTATAAAGGTATACTTAATTAAGGGGAGAATTTGACTCATCTTGCTATCATTTGGTTCCACAGCCAGAAGAAAAACTTACCCACTGATGACTAAGCTAGTTGCTCATTGTTCTGCAATCCTAGGAGTTCGTCTGAAAGGAGGGCAGGGATGGGTAGGGATGAGGGGTATTGTTGGAATCAAGTGGTAGAAGTAATGTTAGGATGTATAGAAGCATAGGTCAAGACTCAGAGAAAAGCTATCTGCCTATCTTGAAACAAAATGTTTTATTACATAAAATATATATGTGTATATATATCACATAAAATATATATGATAAAAGTAGCATTTATCACACTGTATTGTAATTGTTTACCTATTTTTATCTCTCACTAAACCATAAGCGGCTCAGAGGTTAAAGCGTCTGCCTGCAATGCGGGAGACCCAGGTTCAATACCTGGGTCGGGAAGATCCCCTGGAGAAGTAAATGGCAACCCACTCCAGTATTCTTGCCTGGAGAATCCCTTGAATGGAGGAGCCCGGTGGGCTACAGTCCATGGGGTCACAAAGAGTCAGACCCGACTGAACGACTTCACTTTCAAAACTATAAGCTTTAGGAGAGCAAAAACTGTGTCTGCACTTGTCTATTTCATTACTAGTTCCTGGCACATAGCAATGGCTCAGTTAATTTTTATTAAAGAAGGGACAGGGAATTTTGAAGAGATAAAAGTCAAAATAGGAGAAAGTTGGAGTCAGCAGAGACTCTTCTGCAACTTTATATGAAAAGCAAATCACATGCAAAGTAATAAACACATAAGTGCTTTTCTTTTTGAATTAGAGTATCAGGCAATTTAAGTAGCATTTCTCCAGCATCTTTTTCAGTTTTTCATTTCCTTGGGCTGTAGGTAGAGAAGATAGACAATGTGCTTCTCATGGCTGCCTTCCAAGAAAGGAAGAAAATGATGGAAGGGAGAACCCCTGGAAAACCTGTGAGCTACAGGTTGTTTCAGCAAGTCCCACATCAGTTCTGCAAAATGGTATGCAGAGTTGGCTTTCACCAAGTGTACTCCGTGCCCTGCGGTAGGTATCAGCCCCTCATAGTTGGGTTACTGTATGTGGGAGTTGGTGAGCAGACATCATCAGGTGACTCACCACTAATAGCATTTGTTGCTTCAGTGAGGATGTCATTTACACCTGGGATTTAGTGGTAAAGTCATTTGGAAAGGGTAATATTTAAAATTTATCTTTTATTTATTTTGTGGCTGGTGGGTTTTATTTTGATGAAAGTGTTTGCAGTAAGAACTACAGTTCAAAAGAAAAAAAAAGAACTACAGTTCACTGTTTTTCCCCATTCTGTGTTTGTGGCCTCTACAGAGAGTACCCTGGAGATTTTTTCTTATCTTGACAAAAAATTATTATTAACACTACCAAGCCATCTTCCTCCTTAATTAAAAGAGCATTTTCCTGAATTTAATAAAGTTGGTCTTTTCTCTTCCATCCTTTTCATTTCCTGTAGCTGCTAGCAAATGAATTAGCATCATCTGGCAGGTGAAATGAATATTTTAAGTTCCTTCTCAGTTATGGGAGTTCTATGTATAGTAGCTTCTATGTCTCAGTTATAAAAAAATATTGCATATTTTACCTCTGTATTTTCCATTTTAAATCTCTCCAGATGAAGGTAAGAAGTTTTTGTAGCCATCACAGAGGATACCTGGCAATGCAGCTTGATTTTGCCTGGTCCATTAAAGATGTAGCTCTTGATCTTTACCTTCCAAATATGTAGCATGATCCTTGTTGTAGAGCCTACTCCAAGTCTTGATTTCTGGAAAGCAAAGAAAGGGTCTGGGAATCATCTTCTCTGCCCCAGAGAAAACATAAGCAATACCATAAGCAATAAGGGTAAAAATTGAATATGAACAATTTTTCATCTGGGAATACAAACTGATAAATGAATCCTCACCAAGAAGTTTTTGAGTATAACCAGGAAAGTGATAATCAGAATGATCCTTTCATTGGCAAATTCTTAAAAATTCACAACTCCCATTTGCTTCTAAACCCATTGTAACTGGCTCTTCTGCACTCCATCACTACCCCTTCTATTTTAATTTAAACTATTCTAAAAACATCAAGATCCTCCTATTTTTCAAATCCAGCAAGTGCCTTCTTTTCAGTTCTGTGACAGGTACTGCTAATTGCCCACCCATTATCTGTATATATTTCTTCTCCAAACAGCTAAGACACATACCATTTTCCCAAAGAAGACAGTCCTAGACACTCATCTTGTCTCATCATCAGTCTCAAGTTCAGGCAGTCTTCTCTTAAAGCTTAGAGGCAAAGCAATCGTCCTAATACACTCATTGTATAATGATGTGAGAGCGAGCAGGAAAATTGCAATAAAAACTCCGCATTTCGAAAGGGGAGAAGGAAAACACACAAGTCACTGGTCTGTACCACTAACCACATGCTGCTGAACTGGAATAATAAGAACTCTATTCGGGGAGTGAAGTAAGACCCTTGTTTGCACTCTGGGGAAATCTTCATTTTGTATTGCTGCCTTTGGTCAATTCTAGGTGCACTGCTCACCAGGGGTCCATGGCTTGCCCCAGGGGTCTAGAATGCTCCCAGGCTTCTGATAGCTGGACTTGTAGGGTTTTTTTTTCAGCCATACAGCTCCTTTAAAAACTAAGCAGCATGAGGCCTGTTTGTTTCTGGCCAAGTTTGTGTCTTTTTAACCCAGCCAAAGATCCTGTCTCCATCTAGTCTTTAAGCCTCAAGATTCCAGTCTTTTACCTACTGGCCTTGTTCGTACTCTGTTCGTCTCCCCAGCCTTTAGCTTAACAGCCACTACTTTGAGGCAAATCAGATGGTAGATTCAGTGGGGAGATACTACTCATAATGTGACTTGTGCCAATGTGTCTGGTGAGAATGCTTAACTGCAGGTGCCTGAAAGAAGTGTCCTCTGCTAGATAAACCCTTGTTGTTGTTCAGTCGTTCAGTCATGTCCGACTTTGCAACCCCATGGACTGCAGCATGCCAGGCTTCCCTGTCCTCCACTATCTCCAGGGTTTGCTCAAACTCATGTCCACTGAGTCAGTGATGCTATCTAACCATCTCATCCTCTGCTGCCCCTTTCTCCTTTTGCCTTCAATCTTTCCCAGCATCAGAGTCTTTTCCAATGAGTTGGCTCTTCGTACCCGATAGCTAAAGTATTGGAGCTTCAGGGGCAGCACCAGTTCATTCAGTAACTGCCTCAGGGCTTGGTCTGAAGTCAAGATGTGGGGTTGGGATGTGATGGGGTCAGACTTTGACTGTGCCTGAGGCCCAGTAAACCTGACACCTTTTCTTTCTCTAATATTCACCCATCATCTCTAACAGACAGGCAGGGTTTTAGGCCCTGGCATCATACCCAAGCTCTAGGACACTTGCTCATACACAGTAAAGTGACTTCAAGCTGCAGATCTAGAGACGTTTCTGTTCCTCACTGTGGGTGTGTTTCAAGGGCCAGAAGTAATAGGGCAGGTGAACGATTACATGGCATGATTTCAGGGATACCAGGAAAACTGCCCTGGGTCTTTGTTGCTGCACAGGCTTTTCTCTAGTTGCAGCAAGCAGGGGCTACTCTCTAGTTGCAGTGTGCAGGCTTCTCATCGCGGTGGCTTCTTAGGAGCATGGGCTCTGTGCCGTGTGGGCGTCAGTATTTGCAGCTCCCAGCTCCAGAGCATAGGCTCAATAGTTGTGACACACAGGCTTAGTTGCTCTGTGGCATGTAGGGATCTTCCCTGATCAGGGATCAAACCCATGTCTCCTGCATTGGCAGGAGGATTCTTTACCACTGAGCCAGCGGGGAAGCCCGATTAGTGATAATTTGCCACCGCTGAACAACTTTGGGTGTCTTCGCTTCAGACACAGGGACTTGAGATCAGGAACTGGTATTTGGAGGACTAGCGAGTGAATACATATTAGTACCCAAATAGGCAGTACAGTTTGTCAGATCATAATAATCTTTATTTTTTCTCTTATCAGACCAAATTTATGGAGCTGGAATATACTTCACCAAGAACCTCAAAAACATAGCACACAGGATCAAGAAAACATCTGCCACAGATAAGCTAATCTGTGTGTTTGAAGCTGAAGTACTCACAGGCTCCTTCTGCCAGGGTAATCAGTTAAATATTGTTCCCCCACCATTGCATCCTGGAGCCATAGATAGCCATGACAGTGTGGTTGACAATGTTTCCAGCCCTGAAACCTTTGTCATTTTTAGTAACACACAGGCTGTGCCCCAGTATTTGTGGACTTGCATCCAGGATCATGTACAGGGTTACTCAGGACAAATGATGCACTCTCCACAGCAGTCTTACAGGATATTTTCAAGTGGCAGCTCTGTTGATTAACCTCTACATTATTTTAACAACAAAAATGACCTTGCTTTGGAGGAACTAATCAAATAATAACCATCGGTGACTCAAAGAATGGTTTGAATATGTCAAATAGGTTGTCTTTATGGACTGTCTTTATGTAGCTGAAGGATCAGCTACAAACCAGCATCTTAGTGCCTTCATCTTTGTCTCTGTCTCTTGGGGTTGGGGTGGATAGATACCAACTAAAACACTTTCAGAACTATGCCCTCTCCTTCAAGTTGTCTTTTCATCTTCTTTACCGTAGGTAACAGCAAATATGCTTTATATGTAGTGAAGACATTTTCCAGTATATAATCCAAATCCTTTTATTTTGTAAAATGATGATAGTGTAACATATTAAGACAGCAAGATGATTTCAGATTTTCCAGAAAGTCTTACAAAGTGCTTTGGATATCAAAATAAACACACTTTGTCTGAAAAGTATGTGTAAAATGAAATTATTTGGAGTGGAAGGATACCAGAAGGCTGATATTCTACTGATCCCCTTTTTGGATTGAGCTTTTTCAACCAATGCCACTCAAGCACCATGAGGCAAAATTAATTCATCCAATATATCTTGGTCACTAGATGTGTTTCAGTCACTTTCTGGGTGCTGGGAATATGATGCTGGACAAGACAAATGTCTTCCTAAAGCTTCCAACCTAAATAATCAGAAAGGCAGCTATGGACAGCTTAACAAGTGTGACTTGGTATAACAAAGAGGAATTACAAATTCTTTGGAAAAATTTGAGGAGAGGGATACATGAATCTGGGGTTGGGAGGAAGTCCTTCTAAAAGAAAATGAAACTCAAGTTGAGACCTGAAGAATTTTTAAGTTAGGTAAATTAAGGATAGAGCACACTGGGAGCAGAGTTGCAAGAGTATCTTGTGCAGAGTTCTTAAAAAGCCTGAATCTACTGACTGCGCTCATACTTGACTTCAGATTTCTGCCATGTAGTAGCCAGCTAATCTCAGCAGGTGTCTCTTTCCTATTCTGAGATCAATATTTCTCTACACTTCCAGACTTTCCTGACCCTCCTATCCTCAACCTCTTATCTAGAATACTTCTTCTTCCTCATCTTACTTTAACCAGCATTCTTCATCTTGAAAGAAGCATATTTATCTTCTCGTATGGTACTGCCCTTGAATTTGGGGCAAGAGCCATCCCACCATGGACTTTCAGTTTGAGAGGATTTCACTCTGACCTCCATCTGGCCATGTCTATCTCCACAAGGTGAGGAATGCATGGGGTCAAGAGAATGTGTCCATTTGGGACCTGCACACCTCACTTCTAAGCCACCTACTAGGTACCTGGAAATTCTAATTTCCTGGCTAAATAGTTCCAAGTCTTTCTAGGGCCTGATTGGGCCTCTACCTCAGGTGGTTCCTTCCAAGGGTGGACTGTTCCACAGCCTACATCAGGAATGGTCATGGGGTGACTGTTTTCAGGAATGGAGCTTGGACATGAGGGCTGATGTGTTCACAGGTCTGTGCATGAGGCTGTGATACAAAGCCAAGGGTGAGAGGACTGATCTGAATTATCTAGCTTATGTTTAACAGAGATTTCAAAACATGATGGAGGACAGGCAGTGTTCACAAGAAAAAAAAAAAAATTCATACCAAGAAACATTGAAACTGTAGGCCACCAAAGAGGTGAACTTAAAAGCAGAGAGAACAGTCATTCAAGTCACCTACAAAGGAATGACAATTAGACTGACAACATATTTCTTGTTGTAGGCAGTATAATGTCCTCCCTCTGCCCTTGCAAACATGTCCATACCTTAACCTTCTGAATCTGTGAATATATTACCTTACATGGCAAAAGTCATTTTGCAGATGTGATTAAAGTTACCCTTCAGATGGGAAGAGTTACCAGGATTATCCAGGTGGGCCTAATCTAATCACCTAAGGGATGGCAGCATGAGAAGAGTTTGATGCCCTGTGCTTGTTCTGAGATGTAGGGGACTATATGCAAGGACCAGTGAGAAGCTTCTAGGGGCTAAGGGTGGCCTTTAACTGACAACCAGCAAGGAAACTGAGATCTTAATCCTTTAACTGCATGGAACTGAATTCTGCCAATACCTGGAGTGAACAAGGAAATGGACTCAAAAGCTTCCAGAAAGGAGTGAAGCCTGCTAACACTTTGATTTTAGCCCAGTGAGTCCTACACATGACTTCTGACCTATAGAACTATGAAGCAGTATAGCTGTGCTCTTTTAAGTCCCTAAAGTTGTGCTAATTTGTTATGGCAGTAATAGAAAACTAATCCTGAAGCCTGAAGGCATTAGTGTAATATTTTCAAAGGGCTGAGAAAAATGAACTGTTAACCTAGAATTCCATAATTAGCCAAACTTTTATCTTGCCTTAATTTTTGAATAAAGACACTCTCAGACCATCAAGAATGGAATTTACCAACAGTAGATAAACTTTCATTAAGGAAGTTAATATTTAAAGGATATGATTCAGGGAGGAGGTGGAAAACACAAAAATCTAGCCTGCAAGAAGGCAGGATAAACAAAAAATGTTAAGTATGTAAATAGTAAATAATCATTGTATATAAACAACTAATAACTTGGAGATTAAATAAGACTGAAATAAAACACTGAGAAAAAAGAACCATGTAAAAAAGTAAAATGGTGGAGTAATGAATACAGTTAAGTAGTTAAAAGGGATTTAAAGTCCTTGTGTTGTTCAAGAGATTAGTATTATTAAGTTTATTATGTAGATTAAAATTTAAGGGCAGCCACTGAAGGAAGTAATGTACCTAACTTCTAAATAGTAGACAAAAAAGAAAAAGTAGTTAAAAAATCCAAAAAAAGGCAAATTGGAGAAGAGGCAAAAAAGAATCAGAATTAGTTTAACCATGATACCAAAAGATAGACAACAGTACAAGATAGGAAAAGTACAGATACTCATTTACATAAATAGATTCACAAATTCTAATCAAAATATTAATAAATGTAATTCAGTTCTGTATAAATAAATTATGGTCGAGTTGGGCTTATTTCAGAAATGCAAATACAGATTAACTTTAGAATATCTATTGATGTAACTCACTATATAACTATATTAAAGGGTATGTTCATTTCAATATGTAGAGAGAAATCATCTGATAAAGAATTTATAAAGGGATATCTACCAAAAACCTAGAGCAAGCATCATATTTCATGGTAAAACATTAGAGTGATTCCCTACAAAATCAGGATGAGACAATGCTGCTTCCTATCACCATTTATCTTTAGCAGTGTATTAGAGCTCCTGTCAAGCACAGTAGAGAACAAACCAAAAGACTAAAATTGGAGAAACAAAAATGTCATTAAATCACTGGAAATATGATTGTCTATAGAAAGTCCAAGAAAATCTGGAGACAAATTACTAGAATTAATAAAAGCATCCTGCAAAATTCTAAATAGGAATTTATGTAATCAATTTCATTTCTATGCATGAGAAACAGTAAATGTAACCAATTTTAACCAATATTATAGCAACAGAAAAAATAATACAATTAGAATTAAATTTACAAAAGATACATAAACATTTCACGAAAAAATGACAAAACATCATTGAAAGGAATCAAAGATGACCTAAATAATGGAGAGATACTATATCTCATTAAGAGGAAGCCTCAATGTAATAGAGATGTGTATACTCCAAAAATTTAATCTCATCAATTCAATATAATTTCAATCAAAATCTTAAGAGGTTTTCTTCATAGGAGCTGATGGAGTAATTATAAAACATATTAAACAAAAAGGTACAAGAAGATCCAAGACAATTTTAATGAAGAAAAACAAAGTGGAGGTGACTTGACCTGTAATGTACTATGACTTATCATATTACTACAGTAATTAAGATGTGTTATTGGTGTAGGGATAGACAAAGAGACCAACTGGACAGAATAGAAAGCTCCAAAACAGACCTGTGCCAATATGGAACCTTGAGAATATGTGTGTTTTGAATACATGTATCAAATGTATATGTATTGACTACCCCCCAAATATGTAAATCTATATGATAAGGAGAGAATTAGAGTGAAACAAATTAACATGCCGGTTCTCCAAAACTGTCTAATAATCCTTGAAGAGGCCCAGAGGAGTCTAGACAAGGATGAACCAACTGAACCTGGATTATTCAATATTATATGCGTGTTGTGACAAAACTTCAAAAAATAAAAAACCAATTTGTTGGAAATAAGACTGTTTCAGACTTAAAAGAAAAAAAAAGGTCCTTAGGAAAAAGCAGGGCTTCCAGGTAGCTCAGTGGTAAAGAATCCGCCTGCCAATGCAGAAGACACTGATTCAATCCCTGATTTGGGAAGATCCCACGTGCTGTGCAGCAATTGAGCCCATGTGCCACAACTACTGAGCCTGTGCTCTAGAGCCCATGTGAGGCAACTCCTCAAGCTCCTGTGTCACAGAGCCCGTACTCTGCAACAAGAGAAGCCACCGCAATGAGAAGCCCGCACACTACAACTAGAGAGTAGCCTGTGCCCTGCCACAACTGGAGAAAATCCTGAAGACCTAGCTCAGCCAAAAATAAATATTTTTTAAAAAAGAAAACATAACCAAATTTAACAGAATTTTCTGAATTTCTTCACTAAAACTGTAAATTCATTTGGAATCTAACTTCAACTTCACAAGTTCAAATTACTTCTGTGGTTTAAAACCATTTTCCCTGGGGAAGAGAGATCTAACTTTTGATGACATACATGTGCTTCAGAGTGTTTTACAAACAATGGCCTTTTTAGATATGGAGATGGTTAATTTACATGTATGGATGTGAGAGTTGGACCATAAAGAAAGCTGAGCACCAAAGAATTGATGCTTTTGAACTGTGGTGTGTTGAAGAAGACTTTTGAGAGTCCCTTGGACTGCAAGGAGATCCAGCCAGTCCATACCAAAGGAAGTCAGTCCTGAATATTCATTGGAGCGACTGATGCTGAAGCTGAAACGCCAGTACTTTGTCCATCTGATGCGAAGAACCAACTCATTGGA